GGCCAAAGCCTCCCGTTCCCAGTGTGTTGCTCCTCCAGCGTTGCTGGATGGGCTCTGTGCTCCCTGCGTGCCTCCCAGGGAGACACACAGAGCTCTCTAGTGTTTGGGCTGGAATCACATTTGTGGGTCTCTGTGGTCTCCAAAAGGGATTTCCTGAACAGCCAAGCAACAAACCACCTCTTAAATTCAGAAGCATTTCTTCAACTGGGAGAGTGATGCAGTAAGAATAGTGACAAGTAGGCAAACCCCACAGGCTTGTGTAGCTTTCTGTGGTCGTTGGAGTGAACCAGTGGAGTTTGTGTAGTGGTGATAACAGAAATAGAGGAAAGTCAATGGGAAGAAAAGTTATTTTCTTGAGTGACATGGCGAGACATTAAATAGAGAATATTTAATTGGCATTATTATGAATAGCTGTCGTCATAATGCAAGAGAGGAAATGAAGTGGACAAGATTCTTCTTCAAGCTATTTGTTCTTCATTTCCAATTTACCAGTCCATTACTGTGTTTGAGCTAGTTAAAAGCAATTACACACAGGAAATCCTGGCTGATTAGTACGGACCAAACTGCTAAGTCTTCTGAACAACAATTAGGGCTTGGAGACTTTTATGGCTAATAGAACAGCCACTATTACCTATTTTGCAGTTAAAAGAATGTGTTTTTATAATGCTGAAAGCTGCAAAGAATTAATCATCATTGTAATTAGAGCAGGCACAACTTTTTTTTTTTTTTTTTTTTTTTGGAGTAGTTTATTTGATGAGTTTAGTATTTCTTTTCACCCTGCCTTTTGCACTAGATCTCACGAGTGGGACCAAAGAGACCTGAGAAAGACCCAGTCCAAACCCTGGACTTTGTGTTTAGAGCATGAATAAAGTAAAAAAGCATTAGTTATAGAAAGCAGCATATTATTATTGTTGTTGTTACTATTTTTTACTGTTTGTCCAAGTCTGGCTGTTATTTGGAGTGAACAGGTTTTGTGCTTATGGCTCCAATTACAACGTCATACTGCTTTAATTAGTTGTGTAAAAATTAGAATAATGTAGCGCTTGTTATTTCCAAAACACTAATGGGTATAAATATTAATGAATCCTCACAACGTCCTTTTGAGTTAGGTGAGAACTATTATTATGATAAATATGCCTCTGAAAATTAGACACTGTCATAACTATCATCAGTAATGCTGCTGATATTGTAGCTATGATATTTATTGCTTAATTGAAATGGATTTACCAGTGCTAGAAATAGGTTTGCATAAACCTGTTTCCTTTCTGTGGCAATAAATATAATTCAAATCTACTTTTTTCATTCCCAGACAGTGTTGATTCAGGAACAATGAGAATGTGTAGTGATTCCACTATGTAAAGTGAGCACAGTTAGAATACTTGTACCATAAAATAAAGCTACCTGGTTTAGTGATTTGTTTGACTTTGTTGCTTGTTGTAAACCAGTAGAATTTCTGAGTTGAGCATTTTGAGGGAAAAAGCTTATGTTTGTAGTTTTCATGTCCTTTTTTTCATCTTAATGCAGTTTTGAATCTTTGTTGTTCATAAACCAGAAGGACTCCTCCTCTATTCTAAAACCGCACAACATAAGGGCAGTGTTGACTGCTATCAAAGGCTAGCGGCTAAAACTATTTTCTCAACATTCTCAAGCCTAAAGCACTGTAACTCTTTGTCTGCTTATGAGAATTAGTTACCCATTATTAAGATAAATAGATGTAGTTTCACTTCCTACGTAAAAAG